TAAAACAAACATTACAGTAAAATGTTCAAACCTGGCCTGCATGGTGTTAAGTTTCACCTTTTGGCCTTTTGTAACTTTCAGCTTTCTTGGCGAATTTTGTGCATTTTTAAATATCTCCCATTCTCATCACATGTATATGAAGTGCATAACAAATGGAAAAATAAAAATATGAATGTTAAACTGCCAGAATAAGATGTATAGGAAAGCAAACAAAGGGGCACAACTCTTCGAGACCTTACTTTCTTCTATTTCTAAGATGCTTCTACACCAAAGTCAAATAACTTTGGCTACTTCAACTTCTGACAGGTCGATGACCCTTGATGAGACTTATTTAGCTGTCAAAAGTCAGACCAAAAAATTAAATACTGCAGTACAATTTTATGTCAACTTATGTATTAGTGGATTCGAATACCACTGTAAATATGAATGTTGAACAGAAATATTTTAACATTTAAGCGAACATATTTTTTTTTTTTTTTTACAATCCTTTTAATAACAGATTACATATTCATTCCATGCAAACTGGAACAAACATTTTCTTTTCTGTCAGTTTTCAGTCGTAATGATTAGACTAAACACATATCCAGGATTTCTGATGTATAGACCATATCTTCCATCACATATTTGGTATGATCTAGTCCTTCTATAATCAAAATATTTTTATTATATAAAAGATTTATTCTAAGATGAACAGATTATTTTGTCTGGAAAATATCTTTGCTTGTGATGACTTCTGGCTGTTGATTTGTCTGTACATATCTGGTAACTCACATAGCAAGGGATTTTACATGTATACGGTAGCATATGATCTCTAGTTTTGGTTGCATCATAAAAGATCATTCATTGCGTTGTTAGTGTACCACGGTACACAAAGAAATGAAAAATCAATGCTTTGTGTACCATGTGTAGAACATAAAGAGATTAGAAACGAATTTGTTTAAATCTCATATAGTTTCACACGAATCTGTACACACAGCGCCGAAAATACCCGGCAGAATGAAATGAAAACTCGTCGCTTTCACTTCATTCTTTACCGTTGAAAAGTAACACAAAGATATGAAACCTTGTCGTTTTTACCTCATTCTGTACCGCATTATGGTACACAAATATATGAAAACTCGTTGCTTTCATTTCATTCTGCACTCTTAACAATGGTACAGAAAGGATGGTACAGAAAGATATGAAAGCTTTTGAATGCCGTTGTCAGACGGCGTGACCTGAAATGACCCTCAGAAATAAAATACCTGGTCACAATGTCGAAACAACAATCGTAGTGCATTAATCACTTTTGGGGAAAGTCAGAGTTTGCTACATATCTGCATATGCTGGGCATTAAGAGGGTTTTTTAATAGAGAGTAAAACAACGTTCGTTTAGTTTCGATATTTCTTCTGTATCATATCTTGTTATTGATTGTATGCTCATAAAATAACCGTTTATTGTGTTAACGAAGCATTTATACTTCTCTTCTGGTCCACGGTACTCTATTGTGTGACCGAGAGCAGCCACTGATAGCAATTGACCGAAACTGACCCTGAGCTATTAATTTTCCGATTAAAACATAATGGGTTGACGCTGTGGAATGTTGAAGTCTGTTTTAACTCATTTTTAGGGCTCATACAGGCTATGTCTTGAGTATTAAAAATAAGAGAGATATTTTTTGATGAACAAATGTCGTTTAATTTTGTTACGTTTACCGGTACGTGTCCTTGTGTTGTTTTGCTTTTTAATTACCTTATCGCGCCTCCTTCCACTCTCTTTGGGACCATGTTTAAGTTCGACAAAAAAAGGAGAGAGCTATTGAAATTTGTGACAAATATAAACAATGTTCAGAAAAACGTAAGCCGGTTAGGCCCAACTGTTTGAAAAAAAATTCATCGCAATAAAACATATGACAAACTACCCAAAGTCAATTTAACTTTACTATTTGGTACTATTGTCAACCGCTGGCTTATAATAATAAAATAACCATACACAACGACTATATTAATCATTTACCGTACATTCCAAAAAAGTAACGGTCGCTTTCATAGATAACTGTGATAACATTTTGGCTAGATCAATATGCCATTGCCAGTTTAATAGTGTACCACGTCCGCTTTCGGCTGTACAATGGGACAGAACCAAACAATAAAATTGTAATGCAAAAGCGTAACGTGGTTCAAAAACGTTTAAATGCTTCAAATGTGGGAAAGATTATTGACTAATAATGGGAGACACATGTTTTGTTCGCAAAAACAAAACTCTCGTTTCAGAAAGCTAATTACACCTACCCCATGCGATTAGTCAAAATAGAAATTAACTGCTATATGTACAACTACATTAAGATATTACAGTAGGAGCAAAATTGCATAAACTGTTGGGGATATTATTTCAGTATTTCACCCTTCAAACTGCTTCGGGGATGATGAGTTTAACAGGGGATGTCTTTGGTCATAAATACAATTTATTAAAGATAAATACATTTATGTGGTTAAATCTAATAAGCCCATGTATAAGTTTTGGGGTTTTCAAAATTACTCACCAAAACTTTTGATTAGATTTGCCTTGTTGTCGGGATTAGCCAATCACAGACTCTGCGTGGTATCACGTGGTTCTTCTAAATATTTTATCAAAACAAAGCGCCTACGCTTTTTCGATCAAGGCACGCCCACCATCCAACCCCTCTTTTTCATTGTCTATATATATATTAGATGTACACACCACCTACGGATACAATTTCTGTTTCCATAACCTTAAAGTTTATAAAATTGTGTTGTACAGTACAGGTTTGTTTAATTTAGAATTAAGCATTTTATTTACCTTTTGTGTGTGTTAAGTTATGATTTATGATATATGTAACAGTCAATGCCAGATACTTTTAGAAGTGACGAAATATTTGAATATTGTTTCATTCCTTTCTTAAGCTTTATGCCATCTAAATTATTGGCACGGTCAGTGGTGAGACAACACCTCCAGTTGGTCAGAGCTGTATCACTCGATACTTTAGGAAAACCTACCTCCCCCTTCCTACATAAATAGAAAAAAGAGTAAGGGAGTTAGGGCTAGGTAGCCTGCTCTCCAACATTAGACTGACCTAATATTCGATCTTCTTTACCTTAGCTTGTTATATATATTTGGTTTACATAATTTAGTCGATGATTATTATTGTCCGTCTTATTATTTTAACTGTATCTTGCTGGCAGGCTGTTGTTATGCTCCACCTTTTGGTGAATTGTGAGTTATTAATCACTATTTACGTTTCTTGTTGTATATATGTTATATCATTTCATCTGTCAAAAGTATTAGTTGGAGACCACATAAATGCCATGACGGTAACGTTTCATTGGAGCGTTTTCATTAAAGTATATTGTACACTGGCTCAAATATGCATTAATTGCATTTGATCTTTTCCTCCAAACAGGTAAATAAGGAGATTGACTCATGCGTGCACGAATTTGCACACACCCTGACACCCCTTGCGACGCCGCCCCACGTATAGTACTGACATATTGCAATAATTCTTGAGTCCATTTTTCGACATTAGGAAGTATTTCCGGACCTCAATCATCCCGCTAAATCCGACAACCATTGACGCACTTGAGCAAAATTCACTGAGTTCAGAAAAAAACCTTCAAAAGTAGTGCCAAGTTTATATATTCGTTAGCCCAGATCTTATTCTTTAAAGCCCGAGCCACATGGCTGCCGATGGAGTCATATTCCAGCGGGATGATTTCAATATCCGGGGGGTAACACTGATCTATTATTATCAATAGATACATGACGTACAACCCCCTCTTCCATGTGTACTTCGACAGAAGTATTATTAGACGCCCCGCTAAAGGAAGATGGCGGAGCACATGGTTCGCCGTGTTCCTCTCCAGACTCCGGTTGGCTATCAATCGGAGTACGCCTTCCTCCCTTTCGCTTTGTTGGAGGCGGCGACAGGGACACAGCAAGTCACTTGCGCTTCCTAAACCACTTACCTCTCGGCATTGGTGTGTACAAGAGAAACTTGACGCGAAAATTCAATTGTTTTGTTGTGCACACATGTGCTGGCTTTTCTCCCAAAATAGGACTAAACATGCCGGAAATTTACCCAATAACATGGAATTATGGGAAAATATCTGTAGATTTCTATACAAAGATAGATAACTCTAACGCCCTGTTATACTTGTGACCTTATGACACCAAACTTCCATAATAGCTTCAATAAATTTGATTACCGTAGAAAGAATAATATTTTCAAAGAAATAATTATTTGAAAAAACCCTGATAAGCGATTATTTTACAGGGGAAATTAAAAACAAAAACACAATGCGAATAAATAAATAATTATTTGAACAAAGAAACGCCAAAATTTGATCGAAATAACGAAATAAGAATGCGTCTAACGCCAAAAATTGATCTAAACAAACTTATTCAAACACTGGTTAGTTTTTGAGAACAAACGATGGCCATTCACGTAAATCCATCCTGGTCATTTATGCAAATCCGCGTTCGTTATTTATAAAAGCAAAACTTTGTCAGAAACCGTGTTTTAGAGCTGACAACAACTAAATATATAAATAAATAAAACCCCGATAAACAATAGTTTTATAAAAGGCGAAAAATATGAATATACATGCATGTATCTCAAAATGGTTCAGTCGAGAAATAACAGCTTGTAAGGGATCATTCAGCTGTGTAATTTTACTTTTAAGCATTTTGAAAAACATATTATGGGCGTTGATTAAAAAAATGATGTATATATGAATATTTACAGAAGTACATTGTCAACTTGTATGTTTTAACTATTTTGTCTATGGGCATTTCTTTTGAATAAGTTAACTTCTTTTTGTCGGATTGGAAATCATATTATACATGCATTAATTGAAATTGAAATAATGCTATATAATCACGGTTAATAGAGTGTATTACGCAGGGAAATGTTATCTTTAAACGTCTTCCGTCGAGTTGCATCAGAAATAACGATATATAATTACGTAAAACTTTTATTTATACTTGGTATTTTTCATTTCAGAAGTGAAAGTATTTGAACAACAAGGTTTGCATGGGGTAATCGTCACTGCAGACCCAGGTAAAATATTATTAATCAGACAAATATTAGAAACATGATGGGGTAAAAACCAATTACATATTCAGCATCGCTGTCAATCAATGGAAATATTTTCATCCTGTTACACATAAAAGAAATCAGCTCATTAAGTAAAACTAACATTCCATTTTACTTCACACCTTTATAGACGTCTACATATATTTTGCTACATTTTCTATTTCAGAAAGGAACCAATTTGCAAAAGAAAGTAGTCAAGAACGAAACTCTAGTGAAGTATCCATAATGATGTGGAGGGCTAAATATGTCCACAAAATGTGTGAACAGATTATCTGGAACGCCTCCTACGTTCATGCAAGGACTCCCGTCTTCTTTTACTCAAAACCGAATGGTCTACTTGCCTGTAAGTCACCTAAGACAGGAAGTACGTTCATGGGTGCATTGATCAGGGCGCTCAATCAGCCCAGTATTAACAAAGTCTCCGGCATGTTTCTGTTAGGAAGAAACAAAATCCATAATGGTTTGCACGAAGTATGGGACATACTGGCGGCTGAACCAATCAAACAGTCGACATTGACAGTGATGATAACACGTGATCCATATTCGCGGCTGTTTTCTACTTTTGTAGATAAATATTTCCTCCTAGGACGGCTCGGCAGGGAATTAGCTACTCACCTCAAACGAGGGTTTAGAGAAGACAGAAACAACGAGTATTGTGGATACGATATAACGTTCCAGGAATTTCTGGATTATATTGTGTTTCTAGCTCAAAGTATGAAGGAGTTAAACGAACATATGGTCCCCGTAGCTCAACTCTGTGACGTCTGTAATATGAAATATGACCTTATTTGTCGACAGGAGTCTCTGTCGGAAGGTATAACAGAAGTATTAAGACTTACTAAGAATGTAACCAGCAGCAGACTGAATGCTATCCGTCAGTCCATCAATACTACTTCACCATACGCATCAATGCTATCTCTGATTTCCTCGCAAATATTTGATTACAACAACCATCGTCAAGATTGTCCTAATCAATTGTCTTTTATGAGAAAAATGTGGAAAACGTTTCAAGTTCAAGGACTAGTTAATTCTGTTATAAAATTTCCAGAGGAGATATTTTCAGGATTTTTGTTCGTTGAGAAGGAAGCTCAAGCTATAACTTCTGCCAGTTTACAAGTAATACAGTCGAATCCATTGTCGAAAAAACAACGACAGCAGCAGAGATTGACAGCTCTGACGATTGCATACCGTAATATAAGGTGGCAGACTATTGTCAATTTACAAAAAGTGTTTAAATTGGACTTTCTGCTGTTCGGTTACTCAAATTATCCACCTATTATATATAATATCACCCGAACAACAAATGGATATATTTGACATTTTAAAATCCATATAATTACATTTTATATAGAACGCTGATATAATGATTTTTTGTTTTGTTTTGTTTTTGTCTCGCCGCCACGATGTAGCGGAGACGAGACATAGGTGTTGCTTTTCCAGCGACGGCGGCGTCAACATTATTTTTTTGCGTTTAAGTTAGTTTCACTGAAAGTATAAGTTCTAGACCAACCAAACTTGGACAATAGATGTATCTTAGGTAGTACATCTCAACCCATATATCAATTGCTGGATGCGACCTACCTTTTATAGTCCATTGACTTTGTCAGCATCTCTATCAACGTTAGGTTTTTGCGTTTATGTTAGTTTCTCTGAAACTTTAAGTGATAGACCTACCAAACTAGGACCATAGATGCATCTTAGGTAGTACATCTGCATGCATCAAAGACTGGATGGGGCCTACCTTTCATGGTCCATTGACTTTGACAGCATCTCCATCAACATTAAGTTTTTGCGCTTAATTTAGTTACTCTGATAGGTGCATGGATGGTCAAAGCGGGGCACAGGCGAGACATATCAATCCGAATGGCTTGTTTGAGAGAGAGGTTTCAAGTAAGGGGGTATGCTTTGGGAAACTCGACCGCATTAGGGTGACATATACTTGTTGACCCGTCATGTGATCAATGTTATCCAATCAGGCACGTTCTCCTGAAGATGGGGTATACTGATATATATACTACGACCGTGTTGAAATTTTCTTTTCAAAGTAATTAAAATGTGCCTTATAATTACACCAACAGACAAAATGTAATAATCCAATAAACCATACAGTAATATAAAGACGCAATCGATATTAACCTACAGTCTGGTCGCTATTATCCATCCAGTAGCATGTCCATTGGTGTTATTTACAATCATTGTTTATATTATGTTTAAAAACACAAATGTTTTCGTTAATTTGTGTTTTGAATTTATAAATCATTGAATTATGAAAAAATACATAAACCATGTGTCAAAGGAGATCTGTGAGTTAATTATTAACATAATCTGTGAGATTGTCGACTTCGGCCGTGATAAACTCACTGATTCGTTATATTCTAATGTGCTTTTAAGTTTCATTTCTGGAATATTTCTTCAATAATCTGCCTCGCTTAAGCGATCGCTATTTCCGGAACCTAAACAGTGCCGTTTGACCACAGTGTTTACTTAGACTTAACGTCAAATATGTCATATGGACTTTTTTCTATAGCAATTACCAAACAGTTTTTTCCCAACTTATCTCAATCATTCTTTTTGTGACCTGACGGAAGCACGCAGAGGATTTAATTCTTTATGTGGGAGGATGATAGAGTATCCTGAGAAAACCCGCATGGTCGGGTAGGTAACCGGTATTGAATCCAACCATCTTGGTGAAGACGGGCGCGCTATCCACTGCGCCACTCGACCAAGTATCTACTTAAGCTTTGACTGGAAGAAAATGGCATCATTGATGCAACAAATTTATATTGTGAATACATTTTTACCAATCATCAATAATACAAAAGAATCTGCAAACGGGAGACCAGGGCAAGTTCGGCCACCCCTGATATTTTTGTTTGGAGCTAATATTTACGACTCTAAGGATTTTAGCAGTATAAGTTGGTTGGGCATTCACACAAATAAACGAGGAAAACTCTAATGTAAAATTACTAAACAGGAGAAAATTACTTTTGAGAGGATAGAAAGAAAATCATGATTTCGTTCTACTTATGCGAACTTTCTGTAAACGGAATTGCTCCTTTTTACGATCAAACGTGCAACACACTGACAGCTTCAAATGATATACATAAAAGTCAACTCAAGCACTCACTACCATATTGCTGTATCAATTTGAGCCCGGACAGGTTCGGCTAATAATACTGTGGCAAGTTCGGCCCATGTATCACATAAAAAGTCGAAAAATTGGCGGTAAAATCTGACTTTGCTTACTTTATGACGTCATAATTAAGCTAATTCCGACGTGGGCCTGACTTACCCGAATGCCTGTCCGAACTTATCCCATGGCAGGGCTCGTTCAGCCATCCGATCTTCCGACAGGGAAAATTAAATAATGTTCAAAAATGTTCTCCTATTATTATGTCGGTCTTACTCTCATTAGAGCTTTTATTTTATTCTTATTCCTCGACTAGCCAACTTTAAATAAAGTTTATCTTTTCTCTTACCCTGGACAGGTGTATCCGCACTTTTACCGATGTGAGATTTCCTTTTCTTGCATACTAAAAGTATGTATGGATAAGGTTATTCAAACCCTCGGGATAAAATATTGAGTAAAAGACTCTCGGCAAAGCCTCGGGTCTCCTGCTCAATATTTTATCACTTTTATCAGGGATGAATTATATAAGTGTCACCCTAGGGTTGAGACGGGGGATTCCCCTATTCATAACAATGGTATGAAGTCACTTCAAAAATACAATGACATCACGTCAACAATCCATCAAAGTCATGTCAACCCTGAATTTAGCATGTAACGTTATCATTACATTGTGTATATGATACACATTGGGAGAACAGGGTAAGAGAAAAAGAATCATTCACCCCCTTGTGGGTGGGATAGGGGAATCATCTCAACCCTCGGGGAAAGATTCTTAAATTGCCAAACATAATAATCTTCCCCCTCGGGTTGTGATTCCCCTATCTCGCCCCCAAGGGGATGAGAGATTCTATTAATCTCATTTTGAAAGCAGTATTCTGAATCAGTAAATATCAGAGATCAACAAAAGCTACGCTCTTTTAAGGCTTCGCCTTTTCATATTACATTATAGGTACATGTACACAGTATAAAATTGGCATTGTGATACATCATAGTTACAGTACACAATTTGGCATTGTCATATGTTATACTTGTACAAGTTTACAATTTGCAATATAAACAGAGGAAAACAATACAAAACTTTTTACTTTGTAAGAACTTGTTTGTATTTTATGCGGATATGCGCACGTTTGTACACTGCTACACCTACACATGTTTATATACATCTACCCGCATACAGAGCTATACATGTTCATGTATAATATTCATATTGACATATACATACAATCTGATTAAAATCATCTGTTACATGGCTCCGCCTGAACGTAGGCGTAGTACGAAGTTAACGAAGCCAGGTAACATATGATTTTAATCAGATTGATATAAAATATAGACATGCACTATACTCAACAAATACATACATGTAACTACTCACAATCTAGGGAGATCAATGTTTTAGGAGTTGATACATTCAACAGTGTACATTATGCCCTTTTTGGGTGTATAAAATACATGTATTTTACCAAGTGATCACTTAATCATCTATATGTACATTGTATATATTAATGTGTATAAATGGCAACACATACATATAAAAAAGACAACAATATTTAATTAGTGTAATTCCTAAGGGCGGTTCATTCATTAGGCTTTCGTTTTCAAATAAGATTTTTTTCTTTTTACTTAAATAAATAGGTTTTTCCATTCATTCCAAGTTTTGTTAGGTTTTTGGATTTGCATGTTTTTAGGTGACAAGGCCATTTAGTACGTAAACGTTTGAGTTAGGTATTCTTTCAATCCTATTATTGAGAAATTTCCTGTAGTATTTGGTGTATGTAATTATGATGTTAGTTGGTTTTGTTTCATTAGTATCTCCTGTGACCCAAAATAAAATTGTACTCATATCAAGGTCAATATTTTTACCAAGTTAATTATAAATCCATCTTCTAATATTTCCCCATAAGTGTTGGGTGTTGATGCAATTCCAAATTAAGTGTTCTATTTTTTCAGGGTGTGCTCTACAGAGTGAACAAGTATCAGAATCTTTAATACCAATTGTTTTTAAGTATGAATTAGTGGTAATATTCCGGTTCAGGATTTTATATTGGAACCATTGGATTTTTGTTTCTCTTGTGGTTTGGAAGGGTAAATTACTAATTGATATATTTGGTTAAAATTAATTGAACTAACTCTTTCATCTGATTACCATTTTTGATCTGCTGTATTTTGACATGTTTTTTGTTTATTCATTAGTGTGGTTTACATATCTTTACTTTCCTTGATGGATTTTGATATTATTTGTAGGTGAAATATAAGTGAAGGGTCTAGGGTGGTCGTTCTCTGATTTTGTTAAATCTATATTCAGTGTCTGTGCAGCTTTTTTTTATTGATTCACAGATGCTTCTATACTGGAGAAAGTTTTTTGAATGAAAAGTGTATTTCTGTTTGAATTCTTCAGATGAGAGAAAAGTGTTATCATTTTGCAGAATGTCATTTACAAATTTTACACCTTTGACATGCATGTTTTTTATAGAAGAAAGAGGAATTATTTATCAAAATATTTGGGTTATACCATAGTGTTGATTCTTGAAATTTGTAAGTGTTTTTGGAGGATTATTTTCTGTGATGGTTACCCAAGCTTCAAGAACATCTGTCCAGTGTACAAGTTATTTCTACGTTGAACAAATTAATCCATTCTTTTGTTTTTGCTGTGAGAAGCCGTCTAATCAAAGTTGGTTTGAGGCTGGTAATATATTTATCTAAGTCAATCATTTTTAATCCTCCGTCTTTGTAATCTTTCATTAGAGTTTGTATTTTATTTTTTTCTGTGTTTGACTGCCATATAAATTTGAAAAATGAACTGTTTAAGTACTGAATTGTGTTTTTGCTCGGGTTAGGTATTGCAATGAACAGATGTGTTATTTTGGGGATTATGAGAGAACTACTATTCTTCCTAAAGGAGTGATATTTCTTCTAGACCATTGTTTTAACATTAATTATATCTCATTTGTTTTGTTTTTGTAGTTAAGGTCTGTAATTTTGACTAGTTTAATAGAAAATTGTATTCCCAATAGATTGAAAGTTGTGACATTCCATTTTAGTTTCCATCGATGGTGATAAACATCTGCATCAAACTTTGAGCCTATCCATATAACTTGTTTTTTTTCTGTGTTTACTTTACATTTATACCGTTTATGTTTTTATTTCTTTTTACCAGAATAGCCAAGATTTCAGCCACAAGTAAGAAAAGATAAAATGAAACCGGGTCCCCTTGAAGACAGA